TGGAAAGGCTTAGAGATTTTAAATAATAATGTCCTTAGTGCTAATAAAGCTGGTATAATCTTGAACTTAAGTGAGGAATAGATATCTCACTTAGATGAGCTATGGCCTGCATTCATGAGTTAGATCAAAATAGATGTCACAAAAATCCTAGTACTTATTTTTAACAGATTCCTTCTCAAGTGTATTTACTAGAGTGAGAGTGTTGTTGTATAATAACTATTTATACTTAATGTGCACAGCATTTATTCATTCAGCAAACATTTTAGCTCTCATTACATATGAGAAATTGTTCTCTGAACAGGGATACACAGCTCTGATCCTTCTTTAGAATCTCCAAATATAGTGGGGCTCACACAACTCTAAGAAATTTCTTTTGGTTTCCAAGAACATAGGAAATGATCTAGAAATTAGAAATTAGATGAGGGACTGCTGAAGGCAGGCAGATTGATTGGAAAGTGATGGTTGAAAGCTAGAAAACACAGAAACGATAGAAAGCTTAACAGATTGAAAGCTCAGCCCTATAAACTTGTAAGGCCAGAGTTCCAGAGGTGTCCAGCACAGGTAACTCTGCACATGAAAGCAATGCGTGGTATATTTTAGAAGTATTTCCATCCATATTGTCAAAGTAAAAAGGTTTTGCTCTTAAAGATGGTCCAATGATTTTATTCTAAAGCCAGTCATTCCTCATCATTTGGAGATTATTTCAGGTTTTGACATGTGGTGTCCAAAAGAGGAGAAAGTGTCACTGTACTTTGTTTCTCCATTAGACCATTAGAGATCATTGGCTTCACGTCTGGGAACCCAGTATAAGAAGAATATGGATATGCTGTATGCCTGCAAGAGGTTGAGGAGCAGTCCTAGGAAATGCCTAGCCTTGAAAAGGGGGCACTTGAGAATCGTGAGATGTTTTATCTTCATGTGTTTGAAAGACTGTGATAAGGGACAAGTTTCACATATTCTCTGTTGTACCATAGGATAGAGTCAGTCCCAGTGGGTTGAAACAACCCACTCCAGAAGGCAGGTTTCATCTAATTGAGAATAATAACTTTTGTTTTCTGTGGTGCCTGGGATCAAAGCCAGGCCTTGTGCATGCTAGGCAAGCGCTTTGTTATTGAGCTGCATTCCCAGTTCCAAGAGCAGTAACCTTTTGTAGTTGCTGCATTGATAGAATGCTAGCCCATCTATTAAAGTGAGTTTTTACAGAAATGCTTAAATGTACTCTTCTCAGTTCTGAGAAGTTCAGGCAAGAGCTTCTTCAGCCAGATCTCTAACTTCTCTAAAGTCTGAGATTACGGAAAATACATTCAGATAAAAACATCTGAAATATTATCTTTGATAACTTTTATAAATACCAATGATAATTCTAATGACTGCTTTTCAATCTTGAAACATAAGTCTATTCTCTTCCCCATTTGCCATAAAATATATAATCAAGAACAAAGATGTTGAGAGAAGAGAACATTTTCTACAGTGGTCCAGCTATAGTTTCAGGAATTCTCCTTTGACTATTGAGACATTTGCCCAGTTGCAGTCTTCTTGACGTTCTTGTCCTCTATGATTTCTCAGATTCAGTACTGACTCAGACTCTATCAGCAGGTTCTTTCAACAGATCACTGTGTGAAATATTTTCTAAGCAGATATTTCCTTCTACAAGTAAGCAGTGCAACTGCAGGTTTATGGGATGGTGAGGTGGTAGTGATGGATTCTTACTCAAAAATCTCACACTGAAAAAATTTAGTTGAAAGTTGACATCTCTCTACATTATCACAGATGCCAGTTTATTACAATCTTGTCTCTAAAGTAGGCAGAAAGTATTTCTGTACATACCACCTCGTCTTGAACTTTTTCTGTATTACATTGCTATCTCTGTTGGAAACCTTTGCTTGAATATCTTGGTGTGCCAAAATGCAGAGGCTCCTGAGGCAACCCAGACCCCTTTCAAATAACTCTCATTCCTAAAAAGATTTTTATTATGTTTAGTTAAATTCTGTGTCTCTGCATCTTCCAACCAGTAATCTATTTTTTGTTGCCTGGACTTCCATAGAACAAGACTTTGCTCTATCCAACATGATACATCAAATATTGAGAGGGTTATTAGGTACCTTCTTATATAGTCGAGTATTATATTAGTAATCATGTATTAGTACTTTCTGAAGCCCACTGACTGAATTTGATTCCTACCATGACCATTTGCTGCCTGTGTGATCTGATATCCTGTGCCTCAGTTTCCACATCTGTAAAATAGCAACAGAAATAATATGCCTATATCAAAGAGTTGTAAACATGAAGAGAGTTTTAATAATTTAAGGTGTTTCTGGCATACAGGTGTTAATATAAATTCTCATTATTATTAGTAGTGTTTCTTCATTAGAAGAGTTCTTGCTAAACAGTGATTCTTAAATAGGACAGGTGTAGGGATGGGGGATATGTAACATACTTTGGATTTTTATGACATTTTTACTTTAAAGGTATACTTTTTATTTTATTTTTTTTTTGAGTTTTGAGACTAAATTTTTTTAGAGTCTAGCTCTGTAGGTCTTGAAATTGGTACCAATTTCAACTCTTGATGCTCCTGCCTCAGCGTCTCAAATTCTGGGATTATGTGATCCACTTGTGCTTTAAAGGTACGCTTTTTATATTAGTAATTAACCATGGCTCGGAAATGGCTTGAATTTGCCCCCCAAGGGTTCTTTGAAATTTAATCCCCATTGCGAAGGATAAAGGGGGTAGAAATTTAGTCTGACTGTGGTGTTTAGAGGTGGGGCCTTTGGGAGGAGATTAAGATTAGATAAAGTCATTAGGGTGGCGTTCCTATGATTAAATACTGCCAAAAAAAGAAAAAGAAAAAAAAAGACATACTGGATATGGACACTTGACCGCTAAACTGTGACCTAAATAAGCCTTCCTTCCCTTCCTTCCTTCCTTCCTTCCTTCCTTCCTTTCTTCCTCTCCTCCCTCCCCTCTCTTCTCCTCCCCTTCTCTTTTCCTCTCCTCTTCCCTTTCTCCTCTCCTTTCCTTTCCTCTCTTTCCTCCCCTTCTCTTTTTTTCTTTTCCCTTCCCCTCCCCTCCCCTCCCCTCCCGACCTCCCTTCCTCTCCCTCCCCTTCCCTCCCCTTCCCTCCCCTCTCTTTCCCTCTCCTGCTCTCCTCTCCTTTCCTTTTTCCTTTCCTCACAGTGCTGGGAATTGAAAAGTTACCTTCCCAACCAAGCCTCTTTTCTCTATAAATTACCCAACCTCGAGTATTTAGTTATAATAACACAAAACAGACTAATGCAGAAAATTGGTACCAAGGAATGGGATCATTACCATAACAATATCAGAAAATGTGGAGGTAGCTTTAGAATTGTGTTATGGGCAGAGGTTGGAAGAGTTTGGAGGAGTGTGCTAAAACAACTTAGAATTCTGTAAGTGCAATGTTACAGGCAAATCTAGTGAGGGTTTAGCAGACAAGGAGACTCGGGAACTACTCTCATGTGGAATTTATTGGAATTGGTCTAAAGGCCACCCTTGTTACACATAGCAAGAATTTGATTGCATTGTGTTTATGCCTTAGACTTTATGGGAGGCTAAAATTAAGAATGGTAGACTAGTTTATTTGGTGAAAGAGATTTTAAAACAACAAAGGTTGTAGCATGGGTATCATTAGCTGCTTTTACTCAGATTTACAGTGAGACTTGGGAGCAAAAGGAAGCAGAGTGGAAAGATTTGGAAAATGTGCAGCCAAAAAACCACTTGCTAAAGAGATTAATGCTTGCTTGGCATTGGGACAAGGCCTCAAAGCCATCCAGCTCAGACATCTTTGAGGCTACTTCTTCTATCAAAGACCCAGAGACCTGCCAGGATAGAATTATCTCAGGAAAGGGCCTTGGAATTAATTTCCCTGCTTTCAGCACTTCGTGGCTGCAGTCACCATTCAAACAGGTTTAGGAACAGCTTGTACCTTGGTGTCTATGTGCTTAGTTTGCAGGTGTGCAAAATGCAGTAGTGATGGGGTTATGGTGGCTTATAGCCAGATTTCAAAGGAAAGCCTGGATGGCAAGGCAGAAGTTTGTCACAGGGTTAGAACTCTCTCAGAGAGCCTCAGATGGGGCAGTGCCTAGTGCAGCCATGGTTGTTGAGCAGCAATGGGGACCCCAGAAAAGACAACTGCCAGCCGTATGCAGTGCCTGCTAGGGATAGCTGCAGGAAGCATGCAGAACCAACCCCAAATGATACCATGTGGCCTGTAACTAACAAAGGTGCAGATGTAGGGCTACTCAAGGACTTGGAGGACCCCCCCTCACCAAAGTGGACCTGGAGCTTAAGGATTTAATTATCTTCCTTCTGGGGTTTGATTTTGCTTTGAGCTGGTTACTTCTTCCCTACTTGCCTCCTGTCCCACCATTTTATCTTGAAAGATGTAATTTTTTTTTTTTGAGCAATTCTGGGTTTTGAATTTGGGGCCTCTGCTTGCTAGGCAAATGCTGTACCATGTGAACCATGCCCACAGCCCTAACTTGTTTTTAATTTTATAAGGTCTCACAACTAGAAAGGGTTGCCTTGAGTCTCAAGTGAGACTTTGGACTTGGACTTTTTTTTTTTATAGTACTGGGGTTTGAACTAAGGGCTTCATGGTTGCTAGGAAGGCACTCTACTGCTTGAGCCATGCCCCCTGACCTGGACTTGGACTTTTGAGTGATGTTGGAAATAGTTACAACTTTGAGACTATTGGGATGAAACGAAAGCATTTGCTATATGTAGATGTATCTTGACATGACTATAGCCATCTTGAGTTGTAACCACCATAATTGCCCCTGAGTAACCTGAGCTGGTTTCTCCTGCATAGCTTCCCAGAAAACCATAAATAGATAAAACCATGAGAGTCATGTGGGGCTTTACAATCAGACTCCAGAGATGTGCTGACTTTTCAATATTAAGATAAACCAGATATAGTCCAGTGAGGATGAAGTCACTCTTGTCCTAACCCATAAATATACTCCTCTTTCTGACCTACATTGCAGGAATCCAACTGGTCTTGCTGCTGCAGAGGACCATACTTCTTCTGTCAGTAAGTCCGATAAATTGCACTCTGTGCAATCCTAGATTTGTCTGCTTGTCTTCGTTCAGTCTAATGACTCTTTGAGGCTGGTTCTCCTATACTAGGACTGAGTTGTTCTGGAACAGAGATAGATGTGAACCTGGAAGGGGAAAGGGATAGAATGCTGTGGTTTGGATATAGTTTAAGTGTGTTCCCTAAGAGTTGATGTGTTACAAGCATTGTCCTCTGTGTAGTGGTATAGAGGTGTTGGGACCTTTAAGAGACAGAGGCTACAGGGAGATTGTTGGGGGGTCTGCTCTCAGAAGGAATTAAGGTAGTTCTCATAGAACGTGAATTAGTTCTCTCAAGAAGGTTATAGAAAGAGCAAACTTGGCTCCTCCCCTGTCTTTGGCTTCTGGCATGTGATTTCTTCATCTCAAATGTGATGCCACCCTCCCAGAGGCACTCACCAGAAGCTGAACACATGGAGCTACCCAGTCTTGGACTTTCAGTCTCCAAAACTGTGACCTGAATGAATCTCTTTTCTTATAAACTAGCCTAGCCTGCCTCAGGCATTTCATTATTGTGATTAAAAAACAGATTAATAACCATAGCTGAAAACTTAAAATTATTTTGGAAATAGGAGGACACAGAGAAGATAAACTTTAAGGCAAATGACGACAACGGCTACTACTAAGTAATAATAACAGTAGCTAATATTCACAAGCACTGCTGTGTGCCAGGCACTGAGCTAGGACTTTACCTAGATTATCCCATTTACACCTCATTTGACAGAAAATACAACTAAGGCTTTTAGAGATTAAGGAATTTTTCCGTATACCAAGTGGTAGAGATGGGATTCAGTCTTAGGTAATTGACCTTAGGGTGCAACTTCCTTAATCACTGCATTATGCTGGCAGGGTTGAGGTTGAAGATATTTATATTGCTCAGAGTAGAGATGGGTAAAATAAATGCTGATAAATACCATCTGCCTCAGCCATTTGATTAGATGTGCTTACATAAAGGTGGAGATACTTTGTGGGAGAAACCACTTACTCATCTGAAATATAGGGAAAATGTTACTGTTATTTACTAAAGGCTTCATAACATGTTCACAGTAACAGTGTTGCCTTGGATTTTTCTACGCTTGTGAACTTTACTTTAAATAGCTAGTCAAACTCCTTTGTCTTTTCTTAAGTCCAGTTGTAATATTTAAAAAATATGCTTTTAGTTAATTCTTTGTGTGACTTTTTAAAATCTAGTGGAATAGGGCCTATGTCACAAGATCTAGAGCCCTCAAATGTGGCTTTAAAATGTCGCTGACAGCCACACTGACAGTATTTTAACTTAGAAGAGATAGCCTTTGTTTCTTTCTAATATGAATATATCTATTGTGTGATTATCTGATTAAATTGAATCATATGACAAGAGGATACAGTACTTCAATAAGCAGTTTAAAGACAAAGCAAATTGTATATTTATTTCACTACAATGTAAAAAACCAACAATAACAACAAAAACCAAAGTAGAGTTGGAGTGGGGAGGGAGACATGGATTACAAAGTGCCATGAGGAAATTTGAGAGTGGTAAATATGCTCACTGTCTTAATTATAATGATTTCAGAGGTATATAAATATGTTAAAACTCATAAATACACGTTTTTTTTTGTTGTAGTGGGGAGTGAACTCTGGACCTTGTGCTTGCTATGGCTTATATGTACAGTTTATTGTATATTGATTATGCTTCAATAAAACTGTAAAAAGATAGCCTATGCTACCTCCACTCATAGAAAGCAAAGACTTCTGAGAAGTTCCTATAAATGTGACTGGATGTAATTGTCTATTAAGCATTAGAGATTTTAACTTGAATTTATGGAAAGTAATTGGTGAAAATATAACATTTATCCTCTTGGTTTATTTAATTATTATTTATTTTTGTGGTACTGGTAGTTTGAACTCAGGGCCTACACCTTGAGCCACTCCACCAGCCCAATTTTTGTGAAGGGTTTTTCGAGATAGGGTCTCTCACACTATTATGCCCAGGCTGACTTCAAACCTTGTCCTCCTGATCTCTGCCTGCTGAGTAGCTATGATTATAGGTGTGAGCCACCTATGCCTGACCTCCTCTTGGTTTATTATGGTATCCATAAAACTCCGTTTTGTATCATGAATGAAAAGTACAGGTGCCTTTAAAATATCACCTATTTGTAATGTAGAAGAGAGAAGAGCAGAGGTAAAATAATTCTTTATTGCTTAAGTTGAAAGTTTACCGGGAAATCCTTGCAACACAATCTAGTAGGAAAGATCCATATGTCTGTATCATTGCTGATTGGCAGTCTCTGAACCAGGCTAGTAGCCTGATAGTAGCCACATCTTAGAATGTCCTTTAATTGGGGTTGTTTGCTGATCCCTTATAATTTGATGTAGTTACCCATTTTTGACAGGTAGTAATGTTCTGAGTTCCTCATATCAGGAAGGACTATTGGTGGTTTTGCTAAGAATTTTTTTTTCTTATTATCAAGGTCACCCTTTAATAATTAACAGATGGGGAGATATTTTGAAACTGTGTAAATATCTTGTTCCTCAGCAAACATTCACCCAATGGTTTTAGAATCCTAAAGAGCATTTTATATCAAACATTTTAAAGGTAGAGGTAGAGTCTTGCATGTAGTTTCCATGCCATGACTGAAGGCTCTTTGAGAAAATGTTTTGTTTTTAATTGATTCATAATAATTATACATATTTATGAGGTACACTGTGATACTTTTTTTCCTTTGCTGCATGCTAGGCAGGTACTCTATCACAACTACATCCTCAGCCCTTGAAATTTTTTTTTTTTTTTTGCAGTACTGGGGCTTGAACTCAGGGCCTTCACCTTGAGCCACTCCACCAGTTCTTTTTTGTGTTTTTTTTTTTTTTTTTTTTTTGAGATAGGATCTCACAAACTATTTGCTTGGGCTGGCTTTGAACTGTTATCCTCCTGATCTCTGCCTCCTGAGTAGCTAGGATTACAGGTGTGAGCTACCAGTGCCTGGCAGCCCTTGAATTTTTGAGACAGGGTCTCACTATGTAGCTCAAGCTGGCCTAGAACTTGTTGTGAGCCCAGCCTGGCCTTGAACTTAAAATCCTCCTGCCTTCTGAGTGCTGGCATTACAGGTGTGCACCACTATGCCTGTGCACTGTGATGTTTTGGTATATGTTTACTTTGTGGAATGATTAAATCAAGGTAATTAACACATCTGTCAATTCATGTACTTATTTTTTGTGGTAAAAGCAATTTGAAACAAACAGTGCATTATTATGTATTATAGTCTCCTTTTTTAGATTCCACATCTAAGTGAGATCATGCCATATTTGCTTACAGTGTGTGGCTTATGACACTTAGTATAAGGTCCTCTGGGTTCAGTTTGTACTTTAAAAACTATGTTACACTGCCTTGTTCATAGCAAGTGTTCATATTTTTGATTGCTTGATATTATTGGTTTGCCTGATGCCAAGTTGCACTCTTTTCATAGTAGATTTTGTTTCTCTATCCTTAGAAGAATAAGACAGATACTTAAAGTCCTATGGTGTGCAAATTAGAAATTGGACTGATTAGACAGTCTTAGCAGGCCTCTTAGACCAGTGATTTAGGAGTATTGATCTTTGGATATTTTTAAAAAATAACAGTAGAGAAGAAATACTCTGATCATCACCACTGGAAGAACTTAATGTTAAATATTTTGTACCTTCTTCCATATTAATTTGCATTTGTAAGAAAGGAAGTTTCTGGGTGGTGTTCATCTAGACTGAAAGCTCTAGGCATTTTTTTTTTTTAATGTCAACCATGACTTATGGGGTGTCAACTTCAGTCTCTTAAGAATCAGGCCAGGTTTCTTACAGATCTTGTCACATTGCCCTTGGAATTTAGCTGGAGGAAAGAAAGTGAAGCACAATTACAGTTGTTTTATGGCCATCTCATTCGGGAGGCTTCTAAAAGGAAGTGAGGCAGAGTGGAATGTTCTCATTCTGTCTGGTATTTGTTTTCTACTTTTGCTGTGATGATTTTCCACTCTATCATTATCTTAGGCAGAAATGACAGTTATCATAGAGCCTCCCCTACCTCTAATTTCTGACTGATGTCTAACATTTCATCATTATCAAGAAATTAATTTATCTGTGCAAATTGTATTACCTAAGAAAAATGCACATATCCCTGCAGGAATTGGAGAGGTAGCACAAACAGGAAACACTGAATATGCAGACTTTTCCTGTGATGGCTTGTTGCTAGAAGCTTTCTGTGAAATTACTCAGTAAAAATGGATTTTCTTTGGGGGGACAAGAAGTCTGGGTACATTTTAATAGCTGGGGACTGTGAACTAACTTAATATACTAAGATCCTGAAAGAGTAAGAGAAGATGGGTACTGAAAAAGGAAGGGAGAAGACATTTAAAAGATAAAATATGTTACTCTACAGTTTCAGGGAGCTAATGCTGGTATAATCAGTGGTCTCTGAAATCTGAAGAATTAAGTAGTCCAAAGGCTAGAGATGTGGCTCAAATGGTAGAGCATCTGCTTAGCAGGTGCAAGACCCCAAGTTCAAACACCAGTACTGCCAAAGAAGTCAATGCTTTGTTAAACCAGGACTTGGTAATAGCTACCCATTTAAAAAGACTTGCTGGGCGTAGTGATTCAAGCTTGTAATCCTCGCTATTTTGTCTTTTTTTCTTTTTTGGTGCTGGGATCGAACCCAGGGCCTCGCGAATGCTAGGCAAGCGCTGTACCACCGAGCTACATCCCAGCCCCTAATCCTCGCTATTTTGGGAGACTGGGCATGATGGTGCCTGCCTGTCATCCCAGCTATGCAGAAAGTTGGTCCAGGCCAATTGGGCATAAAACCAGGCCCTATATGAAAAAAAAAAACTAAAACAAAAAAGACTATGCGAGTGGCTCAGGTGGTATAGCTGAGGTATGAAGGCCTGAGCTCAATCTCAATACTTCAAAGAAAAAAAGAACAACAAAAAGAGACTTTTCTGTATTTGCACCAAAGTCAGACTTTGCACATTGGCTTGCACCTGCCATACTTCCACGTGTCCCAGAGAAGATTAAAAGGGGAGTGGTAAAGTCTATACAATTTAAGCATCCCCTAATCTGCTTAGAAAGTTTCAGATTTCAGAACATTTTGAATTTCAGATTTTAACATTAGGAGTGCTCAACCAGTACAGTTTATGCAAATATTCCAAAATTGAAAAAACTCTGAAAACTGACACTTCTGGTCCCAAGCTTTTCAGATAAGGGATACTCAGTATGGATAGCTATCTTTCACAGCCAAGTTATCTTTTGCATCCAGACGAGGTATGAAATTGGCAGTTAGCATATAGGCAGCCTTGTTAAGAGGAATAACTTCCAAAGTCAGGGGATTCATTGTAGCCACCGGGCCACAGAGAGGCCTATATTTTGTGAAGTTTCATTGTTTTTGCCAGATACCATTGACTCGTCTTGGTGAAATGTATCCTATGTAATTGGTGTTTTGCTCTGAAATACTGGTAACAGACTTTTTCTACTTTCTATGGCCAGTTAAAAGAAGATGGATGCCCAGAGTTCAGCCAAAATCAATCCAAGGAAAAGGAGGAAAGAAGCACCTGGACCAAATGGAGCAACAGAGGAAGATGGAATCCCTTCAAAAGTGCAACGCTGTGCAGTCGTAAGTAAAGCAGAGATGTATTTGTAAACACTTAACCTGGCAGAGGGAAAGTTTAAACTGATATAACATTGATGATAACAGTTTTTTTCTTTTTTGGCAGTACCGAGGTTTGGCCTCCTGCTTGCTAGGCAGGTGCTCTACCACCTGAGCCACTCCACCAACCCTTTTTTTGTGTTGAATATTTTCAAGATAGGGTCTTGAGAACTATGCCCAAGATGAGTTCAAACCATGATCCTTCTGATCTCTTCCTCCTGAGTAGGTAGGAATTCAGGTGTGAGCCACTAGTGCTTTTTAAATAAAGAAAAGAATGAACAGTGTGAACAGGAAGGGAATTTTTCACAATTTTTGAGAAAATTTAGGTGTCCTTACCAGATTATGACTCACAGCTCAGTTGTAGGAGCTTTACATTGGAACTGGAAAAACAATGTTAACAAAATTTGAAGGCTGTGATATTAGGCTGAAGATCATAGTCATACTAACAACATAGAAACAGTAGGGCTCCAGGAAGTGCTGTGATCTTGGTATCATCTTATGGTGATAGTGTTGTATGTCTTACTGTCTTTTCTCTCTGTATTATTCCTCCACTCCATTACTGGTTATATCTTAGACAAGAGCCTTCCCATTACTGCTTATTTTATGTGACTCTATTTCTAGGACATTGTCATTATACTACCTACCTACCAGCAAGTCATAGATGAAAGACCCCCCATTCCAATCTGCCTTCCCTGTCTCAGCTTCATACCCTTCTTATTACAGTTGATACACAATATTATTTTGAAATTCATATTTCAAAATCCTAGTGACAAAATTGTGTGTTGCTGTAAGGTTTTTTATTTTAACCTATATTCACCATACCCATTTATCAAAGTAGAGCTTCTTCTGGTTAGTTCTTGAGTTTCCTAGCCCAAAGGGAAAAACATTTCTATTCTGAGAAAATTAATAGTTGTTCCAAACTAATACTTTATTTATTTATTTATTTATTTATTTTAGTTTTCTGAGACAGGTTCTCACTATGTAGCCTAGCCTCGAACTTATGATCCTCCTGCCTCAACCTCCTGAGTGCTGGGATTACAGGTGTGTGCCACCATATCCAACTCCAGTACTTTATCTTGAGCAATAAAAGCAACCAGCTTAGTGTATTAGTTTCCCATTACTGCTGGAACAAATGACCACAAAATATCATAAATGTATTTTCTTACATTTTTGGATGTCAGAAGTCTAAAATGGGTCTCAGAGGGCTATAATCAGAGCATTGACAGGACTGGAGGTTCTAGGGAAAAATCTATTTCATTATCTTTTTTTCCCTAGCTTCTAGAAGCTGCCTACATTACCTAACTCATGGTGCCAATTATACCACTCTGGCTACTGCTTCTGTTATCACATCTCTTTTTCTGACTTTTTTTCAAAGTGCCTGTATTTTTAATAATTTCTTGACATTGTGAAAGAATTTTACATTACAATCCAGGGAAGAGGGGCAGTAGAACAATCAAACAAAAAGGACACAGAAACACATGGTAGGAGGAGGAAAGTGTTTAGCTGGAAGGGATCTGAGGGGTGGGTAGGCATTCTACCCAACTAAAATGCAATTGGTTTGTTACTGAGCACTTTTAATGGGAGGGGAGCATCCTTACTACTTTTTTACAGAATACTGGAAGTAAAAATGATGTATCCCAGGTGGAAATATGATTGGGGGTTGGAAGACAGAGATGGAAAAGAATAAAAGTCAGAAATAGATACTGAGACTTCCTGGCAGGCTGATCACAAATATGAACTCTCATTAATGGAAGAATAAAAAAGCTGAGGGCTGATGGAGATTAACATAAAAGCTGTAACAATAAGTAGAGGTAGTTCTATGGTTTTGACCTGCCCAGCATATTTACACACACACACCACACACACACACACACACACACACACACAGACAAATGTGTATATGTGAATGTGCATACACACAAATTACTGCTTTCTCTGGAAGCACAGTACTATAAATAAGAGAAATATGTCCCAAAGGGAAATCCCAACAGGAGTAACAGCATGTGGATCTCATAGTTGCAGACACCCCATCCCAATGAACAACTGACCTGGGAGAAGGCAAGCAAGACACAGAGGACCAGCTTTTGCATAAGGTCAAAAAAGAACCTGAGTCACAGAGGAAAAGGCCTTCCCCTACCTTCTGCTTTTCAGCTCTTGGTTGTCCTCCAGCTTACCTTGGGCACCAAGTGGCTACAAATGAGGAGGAAGGATGGGCCCAGGACTTTTGCCTGGACTAAGCCAACTATCACCTGTTGAAAGGTGTGTGTGTGACAGGGACTGGGGTGGAGGGGCAGTGGTGAAGGGAGGAGGGTATGTTAGGTAGGGAGTGTGAAGGTATCTATACATATCCTTATGTGTGTGTACATGCATACACAAGTGTATGTGAAAAACCCCAGTTATAAAAACATCTGAAGGAGCTAGTAGCTGGGCTGAAAGCCTAAAGTGTTCCTTGTCATGATCAGGTTCAAGATGAGATGTATATAGATGGGAACCCCTTCGTTCTCATCAGGGCAATTGTGGCAGGGAAGACCCAATGTCCCACAGAGGCAAGAGACACTAGCCTTATGATAGGAAGAGAGATGGGTACCCTCACCATCCCAGTTCCTAAAAAATACCTAGTACTTTCCCTATAGTTCCCTCAGCTTCTAACCAATTAATCATCAAAAGGAAGAAAACACAAAGCCTAAGATGTGGGAGGGAGAAAAGGGGAGAGAGAAAACACAAGTATTCTTTTGCCAATATCCTGCACATGCAAACCTGGACTTCTCCAGAAATTAGGGCAGGCTCGATGTGGATATTCGGGAAGGATATAGAAGAGTTCCTGAGCCTTGAAAAAAAAGAGGTAAACACATCACAGAACTGGACAAGAGTTTCATTAGACTCTAACTAAATACAGAGAGGTGTGATTACTATTTCCAGCCAGTTTCCCCATCACAATAGTCATGTAACAAACCAAGACAAAGTTGATCTTAAGCCAGACTCAGCGTCCCCTGGCTCTGGGTCTGGTCTCTGTACAGTGTTTCTGCATAGAGTGACATTGATTCCTCAGCTCTGATATGATGAGCCGAAGGCTGATATATTCTTTCTCATCTATTTCTTTCACAGTTCGATGATAGTCCTCCACATGGGGATATTTAGCTATTTTTGAAATCAGTTTGGCTCTTGTAATATAATATCTAGAAATCTGTCCCAATATGATGCAGCTTCACTCTAAACAGTTCTAAGCTCTGCAACTGTCTCCTCCTGAATAGACACCCCAAAAGTTGTTCCTGCTTTCTATCCTGGGAGTTAAAAGCTGCACCAACATTTTGACCATGTTACATTTCTCAATCAGCAGCCAGATCTCAGGTTTCACTTTCTCAATAATGTCCATCAACTGCTGATCTCTTTTTAGCATCCCATTGGGCATCACAAGCACCTTGATTCCTTGGAAGGTCTCTTCACATTCATCTAACCTTCGCTTCTTATAAGTGGGACCATCCAGTCCATCATGGCTATTGGTGAGAAGAATGGGATCAGGGACAGGGAGATTCGTGTCTGAGTGGATCGAGTTAGGTCATGGATGCCTAGGATTGGTTCCTTCAAAAAACTATCAAGTTCTAACAACTTCTTTGAGAAAAACTTTGCCACCAAGTCGTCTGCCTCATTTGTGATCTGCTCCCTGAAAGAGTCATCCTTGAGTTTCACCTTCAGCAGCGAGGCCATGGCTGGGCCAGCTGCATCCGTGTCTGCTCTGCTGCAGATGGGAGGGAGCTTGGCTACCCTCTCTGGCTTTCTCACCGCTTGCTCGTTCCCTCTCTCTGTGCCACCCACTTGCCTGCAGCCTGCTTGCTCTCTGCTCACCCTCTGCCCACCCTCCTGGCCTCCTTTTCTGATTTTTCACTCTCCCTGCCTCTTTTCACTTGGCCTGGGGGTGTGGCTCAAGTGGTAGAGTGCTTGACTAGCATGCAAGAGACCCTAGGATCAATCCCCAGTACTGCCCCCCCACAAAAAATCCAAAAAACAATCACCCTGATCAAGGTAAAACAAATGTTTAGCTGCAGGCATAGCTCAAGTGGTAAAGTACAAGGCCCTAGGTTCAATCAACAACTCTCCCCCTTCACCGCTTCCCCACTAAAGAAAAGCCACTGTGTTTACTGAGGTGAATAGAAAATCACAATGAAAAACCTCACTTTGTATAATTAACATACACTAGCAAAAATAATATTAAAAATAAGAGCTCTTGTGATTGTATTGGGCATACTCAGATTAACCACTCTAATCTTCCTGCCTCAAAAATCCTAAATTGGATCACATCTGCAAAGTCTCTGCCTGTATGCCTCCCCCACTCCTTTTTTTTTTTTTTTTTGGTGGTCTTGGGGTTTGAACTGAGGACCTTGTGCTTGCTAGGTAGACACTCTGCCATGTGAGCCATTCCTCCAACCTTGAAAGTCCCTTTTGCCATGTAAGTGTAGCATAATCACAGATTCCAGAGAATAGGGTGTGGACATCTTTAAAGGACCATTATTCTCCACACCATAACAAATAAGCCTAGAAAATGACTCAGCAGCCAACACAACAGGGCATTGTTAAATTCTGAAAGTTTTTTAGAGAATTCAGATTTAAGGTGTGATGAGCACTAGTTCAGCAGTATCACTTGGAGTAGGGACAAGTTATAACTAAACAGGTAATATTCTCAGCCAATTACCATACCCCAGGGTAGAACAAAGTAGACCAGTCTTTTTAGAGAAATGAGCTCTGAGAAGACTTAAATTTCTTGGTCCTTAGAATCTGAGGAATTTCAGTGCTTTAAATTACTTTGCAGGCTGGCAGAGTGGCTCAAGTTGTAGAATATCTGCCTAGCAGGCATAAGACCCTGAGTTCAAACTCCAGGAGCTTCCGAAAAAACCAAACAAATAAATTACTTTGCTTCACATATTCATGTAAATCAGTTCAGTGACTTGTTACCTATTCTGTTTTCCTCCCTG